GATGTTGTAGGGATATTCACAATACATTCTATGGTCAACTTTGTATATTCACTTAGTTTCAATTTAGTGCATTTTGCTATCAGTGAAATAAAGTGAAAATAAAATCCAGTGAATATCCAAGATTTACCAGTAAATAATATTTCAAAGTTGTTGAACTTGTACTTATTACTGTAAAATGACTAATTTTCACTGGGTTTGAATTTCTCTGATTTACCATTTCAGGAATATTCAGTGGGTTTTAAATTCACGTTTTTTTTTTCATTTAGATAATGTGTTCTATGCTAAATTTTACATATTCACTGGGTTTTAATTTAGCGCATTTTCCAGTCAGCGAAATAAGCTAAATTAAAACCCAGTGAATAAATAATCTTTTTACAGTATCACATATATAATTACAGTATAAGATAATTGAGAGAAGCATTCTCTCCAATTAGTTTTATAAAATGATTGGCACATTTAGGGGTTTTTGGTGTTTTTTTCAATAAAATAAAATATTACTGGAGGATATAATTATTTATTTTATTGAAAAAAAACACCAAATATAAACAAGAGACTTATTATTGACATGTTTGTTTTTTATTTTTGTCATATATTTTATTGCATATTGCAGTTAAACGATTTAATGAGAGAAAGAGAGGAAAAGCGAAAGATACAAATGTAGAGAGTGATGAAGAAAGGGAAATGGAATTGAAGAAGAGAGAGAGAGGAGAGAGAGGGAGGAGGAAGGGGAGGGGAGGAATGGACACTCAGATTATGTGGATGTATTAAATTGTCGTCCGTCTTGACAGTGCATATCATTCAAGATAAAAGCAGCGTCCTTAGGGTAGCAATAACCATATCAATTAACTACAGACAATTAAATGATAATGTTTGTGGGACTAGAGCAATTTGATAAAAATACACAAGGGTAATTTCAGAACTGTTACTTACTGTCCAATCAAAATGGGTTATGCTAATGTCAATACTGTTTGCATTGGATTTGACTGGATTATGATAATTTAAAAGTTGCTTACAGCCAATCAAAACTGATTAATCTGAATTAAGTTCATTGGCACATTACAAATGATTATTTAAAAATTAATAATCAAAATTGGTTATAATATTTTTAGAATTGCATCATCAAATCATATCTATTTATTTTGTCTAACAATAAAAAAACATACATTATTGCCCTAAAAAAAATAATTGAAAAAACAAATATTTAATTAGCATGCAATACTCAAACACTGAAAAATAAAACAATACATGTTATTCATTTAGGTTAACTTAAAGAGACACTAACAATGTCATTACTGTATTCAACACATATTAAGGATTCCATTAGTGGCATTGTCATCATTATCAGATTAACATGACTGTAATTTGGGATTAATAATAATAGAAAGGAATTATTTTTTATTTTTTCAAAAATTTGATGACAGGCAAATCAAAGTACCAGTGTCTTTTCTGAATATTGTTAATGTGCCATTAAAGAAGTAATTGTATGTATTTCCTAGCCAATCCAGTTGTGTGATCATCTTTTCATGGAATACTGTAAAACAATTAATTTTCAATGGAATTTCAGAATTGTATCACATTCTTATCAATAATTTGTTGTAGGATCCTGAGAAATTTTCAATGCTACAAAAATTTTAAATTGTCATTGACTTGCAAAATTTGTATTTGCAAAATTTAAGCAGTTTAAAGTAATATGTGTTAATGTCATTTGATAACTTTGTCCATGGTTCCCCCAAAGTCAAATTTGTTAGTTAATGAATGAAGTTATTAAAAACTGGTGTTCCATTTATTTATAATGTGAATATACCGGTATTTTCATAAATGCTACAAATATGAGGTGACCTATAAAGTCAGCAAAGCATGTCAATGTTCTTCACTATTTTGTTCGATTCATACAATTTATTATCCATGAAATAATAAAAAGTATATAATATTAATAATCAATCATCACCAGTGATACCCAAACACATTTTGTATGGTGATACACAAAAATTAATTAAAATGAGAATATACAATTTCAAATAAAAAATAGATATCAATATCACGTGAGGAAATGACTAGAAGAGAGAGTACCGTAATTAGAATGGAACACTACGGAAGCAGGTACCTGCATGGAAGGGAGACATACACGATGACCATCATGTTTAATAAAGGGATCATAAGAAAGGCTAATCTAATAAATTATCAAACAACACACAGACAAAACAGTCATTATGGTTGAAGAATTCCCAAAGTTTTTACTCATTTTAGAGATAAATTGAGGCACACAATGTATGATAATTTAAGTTGCTTTGTTCAACTGAACAGTATTCCTAGCGGTATTGGAAGTAGATCAACCTATCTTCAATTCATTTGAAATTAGTACCTGTATACAGAAAACTATTTCACTGCAATAGTTTAACCTTTCAATTTGGTTACCATGGATATAGACTATTAAATTGGACATAGTGTTGAACCATAAATCATTAGGAATCTTGCATCTTGGCTGAAGGTAGATACATAGGTCTCTTAAAAGGTCAAGTCATTGACACCACCTACAATAGTATTGCCATCTTTTATTTGTTATTTTAACCCATATGTGTAACTGGGACAAAAGCTGATATCAACTCTTTTAATGGCAAAGACGCCTTTCACAAAATTATCCCAGATATTTTTTTTTTATTTTTTCAATATTTTTTCAAGACTCGTAGGCAACAGAAATTACATGTCTATTTGGTTTAATCTAACAAAGAAATAGAACAAAAATAAATGTAGCATCAACAATTCTGCAAAAAAATTATCATAAAAATTACTGATGCCACCAGTAAGAACAATAACAATAGAACATTTTAAATTAATGAATCATGCATCAAAAATTATGTATTTATTCAACTTTCAGAATCAAAATTACTGTGTATTTTTTTTTTCAGAATCAAAATTATTATGTATATATTAATGTTTCAGAATCAAAATTATTATGTATTTTACTATTTATTTACGTTTCAGAATCAAAATTATTATGTATTTGTTTATCTTTATCAATCCTATGTTTTATATTTATTAATGACAGACATGTATAATAATTATAACAATAAATTTATTGTGATATAGACAGTAGTGAAATAGACATCACCACATGGACTGTACTACCAAAGGTGGAACATTGAAGACTGAAATATTTTCGTACCATTTTTGTTACTACATTTTGATGACAATCTAACAATTTTTTACTTTCTGAGTGGGTGTATCTCTGGATTGCCCCTCTGCTTGTCTCCTGACCAAGGTAAATTCTTGAGTTGGTGGGTGGCCGTCAATATTATATATATATATACATCCTTGTGTTAAATATACAATGTATTTAATAAATTATCACTTTTGTTCTGGATCACCTAATATAAAATAATTTACGAGACTATAAAGCGTTTGTTTATTATTATTATTATTATTATTGTTTTTATTATTATTATAGACCAGGGAGCGTCATGTATCCATAACCATTTATGTCTCTTCAAATGTCAATTTTATTACAGAGAAGCAGCACATGTTAATTTACATACGTCACTGTACTAGGAAGAATGTTTAAGTGTCAGAGTGTAAATACACACTATAATCTTACTACAATGCTTTGATCCACCCAGAGATGATTTTCACCAGCTGAAAATGATACATGGATTTTTTGACAGGATATAATATTTATACTTTTGTTTTAAAAATTATTTTATGAAACCGAACTAATAATATAAAGAAAATGAAAACAAATTATTGTTATTAATTTATATTACATCTATAGTAATTTTGTACTATATGTAATTCATGGACAACATTTTTGAAATGTACACAGTTAAACATGCTATAATCATGTCTCTATGTTTGTTAAGTTCAAGGACCTGCAGATAATAGGAATAAATGATACTACATTGCAGTTACAATTATGTGCAATTTAAAGTGGCATATGGTGTAATTCTAACTTTTAAAGGTTCTTAAATCCTTAAGTCTTAAAAAACATACAGTATTATCATTATTGATGACTCTAAATTTTAAAAAACTTAAATAATATTTTATTTTAAAAATTGTGAATATTGCCAAATAGTTGTCACACGTTTTTAGATAATAGCAAAGAGAATGGTCAGTGACAAAGAATTTAATTATGTCATTTTATTTTATTTGAGACCTTATGTAACTTATTTATCATTAACAGTGGAAGAGAAATAAGATTTCACAGATACGAACTACCATCAAATTAAATTGTGACTAACAAGTCAGTAATAAACAGAAAATAATAATTATATTCAATCGAAATAAAAAAAAATGCCCTTGATTGTTTTTAACGCAAATATTGAAAATATATTGGTATCGGATATACAGAAAACATTTCTCTGTAATATTTCGGTAACGAAGCATTTCACACAGAACGTTTCTTTTGACGGACACATTATTTGACGTCTCCCGTTATTTATTTACATTGCGTGTTTCTTGATTAGTAAACAATTCCCGATCACAAGTGAATCGAAATTAATGAATGAAGACATATTGGATGTTGGACCGTAAACATGCCTGCGTAACTGAAAACAAAAAACGAGATTTGCGAGCGATCTGAAATATGAGAGGCCAAACAGTCATTACTCCTTCCGATTACAGTGAGGCGCCGTTCACTCAGCACAGTGTAAAACAAGTGCCCCTCCTACTTGCGTGCACAAAAAAAGGGTCTTTTCTTAAGCTCACTGAGCTGTGGCTTTGATAAATGTTGCAGAAATATAAGTTCTAGTGACAACCAGAAATGACTTACTTCTATATGCAGTTATTTGCAGAAATCCCCAAAATAATGAAATTCAATAGAAATCAGACATTCACAGAGACCGCCATGTTGTGCAAAAGCACTCTCACGATATCCCGCAAAATGCGAGACTATGCATCGAGACGTCAATGAGGTCCAAGATAATGGTGGCGCTCGTTGACGTACTATTTCTGAGATCTGAGAAAACTTTAGCAAATGCGACTCAATCAAATGTTCCTGTAAACCTGTTATGGAGAAAAATCCATCTTTAGCAAGCCAAGGTAAAAAGTTACAGTTAACTTTGTTGTTTTTTATGACTTGTCCCGGGTCTATGTGTACACGATAGCAGACCACCAAAGATGCACAAATCCTATTTGCCGGAATTCTGGCCAGAATTCGGTCATGTGGTGTTGTCAAATATAGAGCGCCCCAACGATCCCTTTAGATATAGCTCCGAACAGTTTGTTACTTGCAGGAGCGTTGAGAAAATTATGTAGCACACTCTATGAAAAATTGCTTTACTAACTAACTTTTAGGTAAAATTTGCAGTTGTCAAGTCAAATTTCAAAATAACTGATGCGAGAAGTGGCAAAACACTAATCAATTTATTACTTTACAAATCGGGCTCAGGTCAAGTTCAAATACAGATCATTTGTGGTCTGTTCATTCATTCATTCTAATCTAAGCTTTTGTTTTGCATGCGTTTCTGGTCAGAATTCCGGACTTCTGCTTTTTAGGATCTACCCTCAGTAAATACTGAAATCCAGATAGAAACCAAGTGTCACAAGTGCTATTCACAATTGACGCCGGGAATCAGCGAATTCTGTTATTTGAGGGCGCCCCACGCGTATACAGATTGACATAACTTGAAGGCTGGTATCATGATGAATAGAAGTGGTCATACTTTGTCATAAATACATGATTTATTGGTATATGTAATTGGTTGACATTTTCCAATAGCCCATATACGTCTTCAGCAGCCAACCACGTGAATAGAACGTCGGGCCCCTGAGAGCTGGTACAAGACTCTCGCTCGTTGTCGCTTCATAAAACCAATATCATGTCCAATGTGGCAATACGTCCATGTATCCACGTCTTTCACAAAATACATTAGGTCTTGCAGTGAAAGGAAAATCACCTATCTAGCATATGGAAAGTTATTATTCGTTGCTGGGCAAATTAGCATATTAAGCATGTTAAAAACCTTAGTAGCAAGCCCATACACTGGTTGGCACTGGTAAGCAGCAGTATGACGCTGCGCCACTTAGGCTACTAGAAATGTACATTTTTTTAAATATCACACTTGCATCTAAATTACTGGTATGAAATTAAAAATGACATTCTTATGGCAAAACTATTAAGCACCCCTATCCTACACTAATGCCAAAAATAGTATATATATTTGACACAAACTGATTTACCGGTATAACTAAGATCAAAGCACTATTAAGGCAAAGCACTGTCCCCTGAAATCAAACAAAGATAACTGTGTATGGGTGATAATGCGTGATGACCAGTTCTATGTGAGGTTTATAGTTCAGATTAATTTCAAAACAATGGAAGATGAATGCTAAGCACTTCTTCACAGATTCGCTCATCAAAATCAAGCATTTCTGACATTTCAAAATCAGATCTCTGTTGTGTATGAACGGATATTGTTCAAACTAGGTACATATATTGGAGATTGTGGGAACTTGGTGCATGTCATTTTGTTTTGAATATTGAATTCAAAATGACTAACTGGCAGCCATTTTGTTTTTAACAAATGATTTGGAGCAATATCTCAAACATACATGGGCTGAAAAATCAAATATCAATAAACTACCATTCAACAAAAAAGTTGTATCTTTCAAGACAGCAATGTGTACCTACAAAAGCAATAGAATAGTCCAACTCCTCTGTCCCATGCAACCACACATCAAAGCCATACCACATCTGATGTTTTGATAATCAGTTACCCAGGTTTTCAGGAAAGGTTGCAAATCCCCTTGGATAGTTATCTACCAGTTGCGGGGGTTTGGGTGTATGCAACTATTTTGCACCTGCTTTAATGGACATCACTTTGTTTTATAGATTGGCCAACCAAACATGTTCTCAAAGTTTACACATATCTCTTAAAATACATACGTGTTTGTGTAATCACATGCTTTCTGTCATTTAGATTCAGTTTCCATCATTGTCTCAGATCATAGACCTTTTCTAAGGTCTGTGCTGAGATATGAGTGACAGCACTAATAGCCATTATTTCATGTGAATTCTATATACCGGTAGACAGACTCTGTGAGCATGATTCATCATCTGTCACATGATCGCAGACTAATCAGACCCTGCCTGGTTTAATAACATATTAGCTGGGCTTCTTTGAACCCTTTCCAGTCACCAATGATGAATTTCATTTAGACTTGTCTGCAATAAATTGTGTTGCATTCACCAAGAGGAATTTCAA